AAAATTGTGGCATTCATGTTAAGACTTCAGATACTGAACCCTCAGGGGTCAGTATTAGGACCTCTGGTATTTATAATTTTTATTAATGATCTGCCAGAATAACTCATTTATGGTTGCAAAATACTTTTTGCGGACACTTCTGTTGCATTGGAAGCTAATAGTCCTGAGGAACTCTATTGCCGGCTAAATAATATTGCAATATTATAGTATAGAGCATAGAGCAATTCTTAAATTGGTGCAAATTAAATAAGTTTATTGACAATCCTAAAAAGACAGTAGTAATGCAATTTTTCAACCGTTAACCAATAAGCGAAAATTTCAATATTAAAATGAATGATTATCTACTTTGCCTCTCAGAATGCACTAAATTTTAGAGACCTATATTGATAGTGATATGGCCTTTCCAAGTTATATCCAATAGGTATGTTTGTAAAAAAAATATTTTCAGGTTTTTATACAATCTTGCAGCTCAAGACAATATTAGAAATTCCAAGTTTATTAAATGTATACTACTCTATTATTAATTCTGTATTGTCTATAACATTATTGTTTCGAGTAAATTCTGAAAAAAAGTTCTGATATTTTATTTAAAATAAAGTCAAACATAGGAAAGCTGCATTTTCAAAAGTACAATATTTTGAAATTTCCTTCGATTTACACAATATAATATTCTAGTTTTCCATATATTCGAAAATATTGCAGGTTGAGTGATAACAACACAAACCTGCAAGGTTATGAAACAAGATTTGGCAATAACTTGCGGACTAACTTACATCATACGTCCTTGTTTGAGAAATCTCCATCCTATTAGGAAGAAAATGTTATAATAAATTACCTTTACCTTTACACATTAAAAGGCAATTGAAGCGGTTTCTGTTGGGTGGATCCTACAACCATGTCACTGACTATTTGGTGGATAAATTTGTGTAGGAAATGAATGTAATAATATTTGTATTATGTATGTATTTACTTTAATGTTTATTGTAGATAATTAGAATTTTAGATATTCTGTGATTGCTTCACTAACACATAAAATATAAATTATTTTTTATTGGTATATATTTCACGTACTCCTACATCATTGTATTTGATCAAGGGAGCAAATAAACTTTTATTTATTTATTTGTTTGATTTGCAAACAGCTTTTCTCTCTCAATATTTTTTAAAATATTGCAATTTTCACCCACTGTTTGCTTGATCTTAATTAAATCTTCTTTTAATGGTGCCAAACCATGTTTAAATGTCTCTTCAAAACTTTTTATCTTCGCTTTTTGGGAGGCATCTTGATTATATTTAAACATTTTTTGTTTTCATACTGTATACAGTTACTTTATTTAACACTTTACTAGGCAGGTTAATATAATTAATTTAATTATAGGTACATTTAATATACTACATTTAAGGAACGGCGTTTTTATACGTCTAAATACTCAGTACACAGTGCACATGTCGAAAGCGATAAGATTGTATATGAAGTTAGATGGGTGATAGTTGATCTTTATGGGTCGTGACACGTGGCTTATACCCTTTAGCAGCACGGGATATCCAAGATGTAAGCTGGCAACTTGGTGATGAAAAAAAAACAAAGAATAATAGAACCAAAAGAGAGCATAAAACCATAATGTACGTAAAAAAACAGTTGTAACTATCAGCAACGTGCCGCAATGTATTTTATCTCGATTTTTATTCGAGGAATAATATACAGGCGTCCCAGAAATAAGTGCAGATATTTTAAGGGGTGGTAGATCTGGCCAAAAGAAACCTTCCTTATTCTCATATACAAATCAAATCATAAATCTAAGGAAACATAAACAAAATAAGATGTTAGTATTCAAGTCTTATCTTTGTATACAATATTATTAGTAAATTTTTTTTGGGGAGCACACAAGATACTTGGAACTATATGCAAATTGTCAAAAGGTATTCTAGATAATTATAGTTTCTAACTAGCCAGCGTTTGTGTTACACAGTTTTGCAATAATTGAACTATTATTGTCAGTATGGGAAAAGGAAAAGCGTATTCTAGTGATATTCGTCAGCGAATTCTAGATTTCTACAACCAAGGTATCAAACAGAGTGTAATTTCTGAAAGACTTGAAATTCCAAAAAGCGCGGTGTCACGTATTATTAAAAAATATAAAGTGTATGGTCACGTAATTCCGGGAAAAAGCATTGGAATACCTAGAGCTACAAATGCCCGCATGGATAAAATAATTGCAACTGTGTAGTATAATAATCCTTTTTTATCGTCTTGAAAAATTTACAAAAAATAAAAGAAACTGAACCTTGCAATATTTCGGCAAGAACGATAAGGAGACGATTACTGGGTACTGGACTCAAAAGCTGCAGACCCGCCAAAAAAACATTACTAAGAAAAAAAACATCAAGTTACGGTTACAATTTGCCACAGACCACATCGATTGTCATAATCTTCGATTGGACTGTGCAAGATTGGAAAAAGGTGTTATTCAGTGACGAGTCCAAATGTAATCTGTTTTCTAGTGATGGTATTGTACATGTTAGGCGACCAAAGGGCAAAAGACTAGAAAGAAAATATGTTAGACCGACAGTGAAGCATGGAGGTGGTAACGTAATGGTGTGGGGCTGCTTTTCTTGGTATGGCGTTGGGCCTCTTCCAGTGGCAGTGGAAGGAAAGGAAGTAAGGAATGGTAGGAAAAATGGACAGGTTCATGTATTCTTCGTTCAACTATTCGTATTATTCGTTCAACTATTCGTATTATTCGTTCAACTATTCGTATTCACATTCTTCGTTCAACTATTTAAATGTAGGTCAAACGTTGACTAATTAACTTATCTAACAGAGAGCGCTAATTCGAATAATTCAAAGTCAAAGAAAAGTGAAAAAAATATTTGATTTTTATTCATTTTATCATTAGGCACATCGATAGGAGACTAGGCGTCTTGGTGGAGTCCGATCTCGGAATATACAGGGTGGTCCGAACTGTATTCCGGAAACTTCGGCAGCATATTCTTCAGATAAAAATAAGTAAAAAAGTTCGTATAAATGTATGTCCTAAAATGCTTAGTATCGGAGATACAGGGTGTGGAAGTTTTATTTTTATTTCGATTTTTTCCAAATAATTTCTGAAGTGACGTCAATATTTGGATGAAAATTGGTGGATGGGTGTTTTTTGACATGAGAAATTTGATTTTGATGTCAATATGACTCCCATTTGTAGGTGGCGCCACCTACATGTGTTTTAATTGTTCTGAAGAGTAATAACTTTTCGTCGGTACCTGTATAAAACTACTGAGTAAAAAAATATACATTTACGACTTTTTTTACATAAAAAAGGTCTCTTGGTAAAAATAGCTACGAGTAATGGTTCTCGAGGTATTTGGAATCGAAATTATCAATACCTGTCATCATTGACATAAATTAAACATGTTGACTAAATAGTTATTAGACTGAAATCATAAATTTGAAATCTTTTTGTGTCAAAAGTTCAAAAGAAACTGTTTGATCATCATTTTTTCTCAGAAAAACATATGATTCATTTAAAAAAATTAAAATTTATTATTTCAGTTAAATTTCTATACTCAACGTGTGCTTATTTTTTGTCAATAACGTATGTATTGACTATTTCCATTCTAAATATCTTGAGAACTGTTGCCCGTTGCGATTTTTACCAAGAGACATTTTTATATGTATAAAAAGTCATGGAAATGTATATTTTTTTAGTCAGTGGTTTTATACAGGTACGGTCGAAAAGTTATTACTCTTCAAAACAGTTCAAACACATGTAGATGGCGCCCCCTACAAATAGGAGTAATTTTCACATCAAAATCAAATTTCTCGTGTCACAAAACTCCCTGATACTAATTTTGATCCAAATATTGACTTTACTTCAGAAATTATTTGGAAAAAATCGAAATAAAAATGAAACTTCTACACCCTGTATCTCCGAAACTAAGCCTTTTAGGACATACATTTATACGAACTTTTTTACTTATTTTTATCTGCAGAATATGCTGCCGAAGTTTCCGGAATACCGTTCAGACCACCCTGTATATTTATATCATATTATGTTAAAAGTTCTGTAAAGAAAGTGTTTAATGCATTTATGTAAAATTGTTTGATGTGTAAAAATTAAAATAATATTATGTTAAAACTTATAATATTATAGGATCAGTTGAAAAGAAGAGTTTTGTAAAAGAAAAATATTTTGTAATATGGCGAAAAAAGCTGCTATAATTTTTCGTTATTTATAGCTTCATTATTTCAGTTTACTAAACTGTAAAAAAAATATTTAAAATAATAGAAATTGATCCATACCTAATAGTAATCTACAATGAATAAAATTAGTTTAAGTATTTTTTTGTCGAAATTTAAAATGTCAACTTATGACTTACAGAACGTGGATAACGTATGAGGTGGCAACACTGCATTCTCCCCAGGCATTATAAACAAATTTCTCGAAACTGAACAAATGACGCTCAAAAGTTTTTCAATATTTTCCGGAAAATGTCAAGAACAATATAAAATTTTGAACATTTATTTTCGCAAAATAAACTCATGAGCATGTTTCTATCGGGGGTCAAACTATACTACCAGTTAAAATTTCTGCACTTATTTCTAGGAAACCCTGTATAAAATAAGAAAGAATACTGGGGAGATGTAAACTAGATGAAATAAATTTCGGCATAATTCGGTAGAAAGTTATTCATATTTTTCTTGCTTATTCAAACTTCTGGTCTTTATTACTACAATGCATTCACATTATAACAACTTGGAGATAAAAAAGAAAATATAAAATACTAACGAAAGAAAAAAGTCTACACCTCAAGTTCAGGATAGTGGGCATCCTTAGAACAGCAACTGTCCTGGACGAAGTCCACATTTCTGAACAAAAAGAAGACCATGTAATTGAATGTTAACTGGTACACATGAAATTTCAGTTAAGATAGGCTTAATATATAAAGATAAAAGATACAAGACTTAATAATAAAATAAGCAACACGTTTTTTATTATACTTACAAATAATGATCGTGGCGATGGCTTCGATGTGGACTTTTTTTTGTTCTGCGGTCAAATTCAAGAGACTGGTTGAAATACTCTTTAGATTTTACTTCATCAAGTACAGCAGCTAACACAGGAAACTGAAAAAAATCACAAAAATTTTTATTAACAACCTCACCCTAACTACTTCTTTAACGTTTATCAATATCTTACAATTAACAGTTCGGAAATTTCTAAAAATTATTACTCATTTAGATAACCAAATCTAGGGCGATGGTTAAATTGTAAAACCGCTGCAGATATTCAAATCTCCGTAAATATAACCGTTGACTGAAAGAATTGGGAAGATACGCAACCTAATGGATGAATTCGTGACAAGGCTGATTTGATTTCCACTTACGTCTCAAGTGCTGTACGGTGGAGACACCAATGGTTCTGCGGTCAACGCATAAACCACGTATTTTCTCTAATTCGGCCAGCGAAGGCATTTCGAAGATGGTGTAGAACTGAAAGCGACAGTGTTGCCATGTTAAAATGTGTAATATCTGTAATACGTTTGACGAAAATATCTTTGGATGAAAAATCCACGTTTATGTATTGAAAATGTATTCTTGTTAAACATAGAATAAAGAAAAAAATGGAAATTCTTTTATAGGCAATGAATATGTCGTATGATCTAAAAAAGTCGTTTAGTTGGCTTGGAATTGTTGACATTTACCATAATATCTTACATATAAAATAACAGCAATCTTCATTTCCAAGCCAGCTCTGATGCCGAAAAAATAAAAACAGGCGTCCTTTGGAGTTTGGTCTTCGTTCTTCGTAATCTTCTTCATCACTCTGAGAACCTGAGCCTTTTATGTCTTGAAGTCTAGGTGTAACATATTAACTTCAAAGCATTTTAGACAGTTATTATGTTAGGTAATATTAGTTAATTTATGTTAGGTACCAATGCATCATTACGAATACTATTATTTGTAAAAGTGTTATGTTTTTGTCCAGATAAGCAGCAATTGTCATTACATATTCTTTACATTCGGCTAAAAGATTCCAACACATAGATTTTTTTATGATCTCTTGCTAAACTTGACGAAACACTCACTTTTTTATATTTCATTTTTTTAAAGAATAAATGAACTATTTTACAAATAGATCAGAAGGGGGCCTGCAGAGGCCGGAGCCCGGCTGGTAATCGCCACTCTGACATATGGCCAGTCCGAATCTGGGTACACATAACGTGCTTCATTGTTCCGTCATCTTCTATACAGAGAGTCGGCATTCGGCGTCATCTACAAGTCTCCCCTTACAAAGCCCATTCTCTGTAGGTGTGATCGCAGCCGGTAGTGGCCCCTGAATACTGCAGTGACCCGTGTATACTGCAGTGACTGCAGTGTATACTGACGTGCTCCATTCCTGACATTCTCCTGTTCTGTGATTGGACGGCCCTACTAGGATTTTCTTGGCATTTTCCATTCCGGAACTGTTCCATTCCAGTCCTGAAACGTCGTACCCCTAACCCATTCAAAAAGCCTGTCTCTTGCGAGATTTTTTGGAATGCTAAGTGTCGGTTCTGGGCTCACGAATAGCGAACCTGCACCTGTTTTGGCGAGGGAATCAGCACTTCGTTTCCTTCTAGGCCGACATGTCCCGGTATCCATGTTAACCATACTTTGTTCTCATATCTTCATAAATTGAGTAGTTTCCTACCATGAAGAATCGGCATAGACGTGCCTTTCGTTGCCCCAAACGCTTTCAACGCGGCTTGACTATCCGAAAATATGATTGTTGTTTTCCCGGTGTATTGCTGTTCTACCAACAGATGCACACAGGTTTCAATAGCAAATAAGCTTAGCTTGGATAATTGTGGTGTGTTTTCCAAGACTGTGGTAGATCTCAGTCTTTGGACTACTGCAGTAAATTCCTGGGCCAGGTCCTTTTTGGGTTCTTCGATCCGTCCTTGTACGAACACATTTCCGCGTGTAATAAACCGTTTCTCGACTTATCCCATTCGTCTCTCATTAGGAAACAAGACGTTGTAGGTGCCTATCAAAAGTGACCGATGGTGCGAGACTATTCCCAGAATCTCATCCGATTGCGTAATTCATTTACTAGTCGGTTTTGTATGAACTTGATTGTTCCTTGACGGTCTCGTGCCGTATTTAGAAATCTATATCTGTAGCCCATCTTACCTCTCTTTCCAAAAAAATTGAAGAGGATAGTCAGGTAAGTGTAGGTAAGTCAGGGTAAGGGTAGGGTTTTTATAGCTTTTGACGGCGTGGAATGAGAGGCAACAGTTACCGCTAAGCATGCTTGTCGTTGTAATTTCGATAATTTATTCTTTGCCGTTGTTTGGTTGGCTTTCTGTCACCAGGCATCTGCACCATATGTGATTATGACCGCGCCTTTAGTAACATCGAATATTTGTGACCTTAAATCATTTAAATTTGCAGGACAAACTGTTTTCTTAGAATATTTCTTCTATATTGATATTATAATATTTACGTGTTGAACACATATACCTTAGCATACGAGGCCTTGGGACTTAAGCTGAACATCGATAAAACTAAAATCATGTGCACTCCCCCGGAAGATCACAAAAGGAGGCCGGGTGGATAACTCAAAAGGTACAAGAATATTTTCCACGAAAACTTAAAAAAAAGGGGATTAACATGCAGAATGAGTGGGAAGAAGTAGCTCACAATAGAACAGAATGGAGAAGAATTGTAAACTCAGTTAACAGCGACAACCAAAAAGTAAAGAGGCAACAAAGCAATGAGATTTTTGAACGTCCGGGGTGCGGTAGACAGATAACATCCCGTATCGGGCTTTTCAGTCACAGAAAAGCTCATGAAACAAAACACCTTGGGTGACCATCTTATGATATTATGATGCGTGTCAAACACTCGTCAGCGAGTAATGGCAGTATGTATGTATGTAGTATAATATTTAATAAATGTATAATTACAAAATTAGTAATAATAGATCAATATAATGTTTACGTCTCTGTTAAAGCGCATGTTATGTAACACAATTCGAAAAAAATACATACGAAAAAAAAATAGAATCCTATATCCAAAAATAGTTTTATACTTATAATTTTATATTAGACCCAGTAGGTCAACTCAGCCTTAAATGAGTACTTGGGATTCACAATCCTGACGTAATAATAGGCTGTTGAAGCGTAGAGTGCCAGCCACATTACTTTCCTTGTATACCGAACGGCTCTAGCATGGCAAGCTGTAGGTACCTTGCTACTCCCAAGGCGTTAAACGCTATATACGGGAGCTATTATTATATTATTATATTGGACCCAATAACTTCTTTAATAAATGTACTTTTTCGATCCATTCTATTTAGATCTATAAACGATCTTAAGACGTAATTTGTAACGTAGAGAAATACATCGTTTAAAAAGAGCTTGTTGAGTTCCCATTTTATTAGTGGCGCAGTCGGTAGGATAACTGAAATTGATAAGCATCGTGCTATCAATTTTTATTTAAACGATGTTATCATTATTTTTTAAAGATTGATCAGTTATCGGATGGTGATTAAACTGTAGGGGTATCAAGGAAGTCTATCGATTCATCACCACCAAATCACGGAGATTGGCGTTGGTCAATCAATATACCTTTATCGCAGGGACAAGCAGCCTGATTGATTTTTGAACTACATCGTCAAGACAGCAGCTGGTTCTTATATGTAGAAGAAATGGTTAAACAACTCGCCTTACAGTAATTGCAATTAATCAATGTCAGATTTAGATCAATTTATTAATAATTTAAGTAAATTTGTTAAATATCTAGGGAATAAAATCAAACATAATGGCTCAGTTTAAATCTAAATATTTAAGCTGCGTTCCAGAATCAGCCTAGTCCAATAGTGAGTGATAACCGCATACACTTGTTTCTAACTTATGCCCTTTATCCGTACGGTGCATCCAAGTTACTAGATGACAACTTGGAGATGAAGAAAAAAAGAAGAATGATAGGAACCTAAAACACTACTTTGCAGCCTAGAACTAGAGTCGCTCAGGATTGTGGGCTTTGTCCAGAACAGGTGCGGAGGTAGCCAACAGCAACCCAATGCAACACCCTTAGCCGAGTAACAATACATAAAAGAATAGTTAATATTGAGGTAAATTATAGAAGAAAAAAAACGAAGAAATATCGACATAGCCCGATACAGAGTGTTAATGCACATACTAGTTTTTATTTGCGCCTTGATGTAATAAGTAATATTTTTTGTAAGCCAGCTTCGAAAAAAACATTTCTTTCTTCAAAAAGTATGACCCGTTCTTTACAAAAAAATATAGTAAATACTAAATGGATCATTTCACGAAAAAAAATCGGTCGTCGTTGGAGTTGGAAAATATTTCTACTAATATTTATGTTGGGGTGGGGGTAGTGTTCATCCTTATCGCACTTTTTCTTGATTTTTGTAAAAGTCAAATGTTGAAGGGAATACACTTAATTTAATAATAGTACGAAAATAAATAGGTATCCCAAATCTTATTCAAATTGGAATAATTGTTCTTAAAATGTCATATAAAATGTGTTTATTTTTTTATTTTTAAGTTTGATGCCGTCTAATAGACAAACGACTTTTGTATACCGGGTGGGTCTCAAATATTTTTGGTCGCTTCCTGTTTCACCGGAAATGACCACAACTTTTAATTTTTTAATGGCACTCTCTCTGTTTCAAATGGTAACATGCGGTTAAAAAAATTGAGATATGATTAAAAATACGATTTGAGCATCTTTTAACCGGCCAGGAAGACACGAAAAGCATTAGATTATTTCGAAGGCTCATTGATTAAAAAATTAGAGTTTGTAACACAGCCAGACTCTAGAGGGTAGGCACCCGTCTCGATTTTGATCCAAAAGTCCCGCGTCCCCACGCAAAGCCCTAATGTCCCGATTTTTAAGTGTTTAATAGCCACGTTTTCATTAAACAATTTTTTTTAATTAAAATATATTGATACTCTGTTTAATGAATATTCGATAATAAAAACTTGCGTAAAGGAAATTGGCTAAAAAGAATATAAAAATTAGAAATAAAAAATAAAGTATTTTTAAAACTAGAGTAAATTATATGCCTTCATTGTTTAAGGTTGTTATTTATATATTTCCACGTATGATGT